AGCTGCCTTCAAGACAGAGATATGCTTTAGGCGGAATCTTTTGCCTCGGACTCTTGTACGTGCTCTATATCGACAGTAAATGTCACATTGACACCAATCTCACATGGTTGATAGCACGTGCGTGATTTCGGCTGTCCGGATACAACACCTCCATCAGACCGCAGACTTCACGTGGGAAAACGTGCAGACTGCTGGGTGGTCCATCGGCGAAGTCTGTAGTGGGCTGATCTGCGCGTGCCTTCCGACGCTCCGGCCCCTCGTCGTGAAGGTTATGCCCTCTCTGTCGAATCCCGTCAGCGGGTTCTCCCGACACAGGATGCAGCACGGCTTCAGCTTCAAAAGGACAGCTTCTATTGCGAAGCAACCTGAGGCCGAGCTTGCCATTATCCCGCGCGAAATCGGCCCTGGCGATAGCCCGAATCGTCGCCACACGCCACGGCTAGGTTCCTCTGATAGCGAAGTCGACCTTTGCGGCGCCATAAGCTACGATCGCAGCCGCGCTGACCTAAGCTGTGACTTGCCGCTGTCGCTCCAAGGGATCTCGGTGGATATCGATGTTCCGCCGCCGTCGGCGACGGTTTGGACTCAACACCGGGATGCAACTGAAGTCGGCGGTCATGGCCGTGGGCAGTCAGTGGGTGTGGAAACACGGACCGAGGCCGACCGAAGACGTAGTAGCAGGCCTGCGAGACAGTCGTCAGGCTTCATCAACATTAGGCTTGACGTTGTGGAAGGCTCGTTACCACAACCCACGATGGATGGATGGATACCCATGAGCGTGGCTGCAAGTGGGTGGCGAATGTCCTCGTCTGAGACGGGGAAATCGAGGAACGCCTAGCTAACTCCATTAACGAAATTTCTCGCTACCCAGAAGCCTAGGACAACTAGAAGCGAGGAGGGTTAAGGAAGAGGAGCAGCGGTCACTCAGGCAGCTCCTGCCTAAGCTCCAATTCTCACCAGGAAATTCGGGGTTACTGATACAACTCGGTGTTCACGACAGCCATTCTTACTTGCTCTCACCAAACTTGGTGGGTCGAGACCGAGACAAGCGAAATCTACCTGAGTTCAAGAAAAGGCAAGCATAACGGGGAGAGATTGATTGCACCAGACGTCAGTCACTAACTAGTAGGAAGCGTGGCGCGCATACAGGGACCCGTTATTTAGATGGTTGCATCTATAGGATAGGATACATTCTTAATCGATCGTTAATATACAAGAAGAAAAGAGAAAACGAAGGGAAAGAAACCGGATCGAACCATGCGAACGCAAAAGCAGCTGTAACAGACCCCGCGCCAAACATCCTGAACTAACACTTTACCCCCAACCCCCAACCCCCACACTGAGACGAGAGCTGGGCTAGCGGTTGTTTCCTCGAGCCTGCGGAGGGCTGTTCCAATATCACGAAACAACCGTGAGTACGTAGCAATACGCCTCGAACTTCTACAGATGGTGCTGCTGGTCCCAGGTCCGCTTCCGGCGGTGGAAACGTCACCAACGGCAGCGGCCCCCGCGCATCCGCATTGCAAAGAACGTCAGATTTGGAGGAGGCAGGCACATTTTAGCTTGCCGTGTGGAGGAGACAGCAGCTTGCAGCTCGCGCTTGTCCTAGCCCCTGCCGCATGGCCGGCCGGCTAAGCTTCTCTGGACTCGTTTTCGTTTCCTCACACGGGTCTGGAAGGTTGACTCTGCCCCCGAGCAGTCAACATGATGTCTCCCGCCGGCAGAATGCCGAGGCTGCTACGTCTGCGGAAAAGGGAGCATTCTAGTTAGGACGTTTATATACTAGCGGCTCTAACTAGAGTCCGACATAGCACCTTGGCTTGGGGTTCGGGGGAGGCTTGGGGGCTTGTTAGAAAGGGGGCTTTGGTGCGCGGTCGTTAACGCCGTGGGGACCAAAGCTGGTTCTCTTAAGGCCAGGGCTTGACTCCACGGGTACACTCTGCTCTGGGATGCCAGTGCCTCTTGAGGCGCGTCGTCTCCAGCGCGTGTCCGCGCTCGGAGATCGCACGTTGGGCCCGTCGGTGGGCCTCGCTGTATCTCGATTGGATTGTCTCTGGTTGATTCCGTATCCATTAACGGCCCAGTCGTGGTTGATAACGGAAATCGTTGGTGGTGATGAAGAAGGACCTCTCTCTCCTGCTTGTCCACAGCATCCAGTGACTGGTCACGATCCAGTTGTAGATCTTTAAGGCGTCTTTGACGAATCTCGGCCTGATAAGAGCAGAGGATCTCGATAACATCGACAGGCAAGGCTTCTTGGCTGATACACCAGGCCTGGTTAGCGAGATTGACCCAGACGCTCTGCTCTGCGCGTTTGCAAGCCACTCTGATGCGTTCTCTCTCCAAGCAAAATCGCAGTCTGTAGCTCTCCAAAGCGGCAAACCAGGCGTCTCGCTCCCGCTCCAGCGAAGCGCGGTCGCCCTTGCCCCGGGATTCCATATCGAAGTGGCTGTAAAGTGTCATGTTGGTGTTCATAGATGGTGACCAGGCGGCTCGGCTTGCGTTCACCCGGGAGCTGCTGGTGGGGAATGTATCCAATTGCCTCTGGAGGCTCTCGACCTTCAGTCCGCGGGGGGTATATCTCGCAGAATCGTGACTGACAAGGTAAGCTAGCCGCAGGCGCTAGCTGTTGGGTGCCAGCCGCAAAACCAGCCCAAGGCTGCAGTGCACACGAGCTGCCGTTAGTAGCAGCAGCGGCAGCGGTTCGAGTCGGTAGGATAGAAAGCGAGTGTATAGCCGTGCCGATCAAGAGGGGGGAAAGAAAATCAAAATTTTGAAAGATGAGGGGGCGGTGTCAAGATAGGAGACCAAGGGGTTCAATGTTAGGAGGGCGCTCCGAAGCGTGTTCTGAACGTGTTATGAACAAAACTCGGACAGCCGTCTCGCTCCGCTCCGAGGGAGTGAGACGACTGTTGATGATTGTACGTCTTATTTATTCATACTACTCGTGGGCAATAAGCCTATTGTATGGCTCGACTACCTAACGCGCTGTTAAGACAGTCTACAGATAACTCGGCGTAGTGAGCGGCAAGGGAGGGACACAGGGCGGCTGCGAGTGAACTGATGTGTCTTCGCAGTTAGGATTCAAATTCCCCAGCTTCATTCAAGAGCTCCTAACAGCGGTCAACAAGCATTTGCCTGGAATCTGGGAAGAAGAGAGGAGGGGGGGGGGGGCATCTTTCCCGGCTTCGCCGAAAGCCGATACCACGGCGTTGAATACCACCGCTGTGCAGACGCTTCCGCTCGCATCGTCTCATCCATCATCTCATACATTGGCCCCAGCCGTTCGCTAAGGCGTTGAAAACGATTAGATCTACCAAGCAGGGCCGGCCTACATAGTAAGTTTGTTGCTCGATAGACTTACATTGGATTGCATTGCGCCCGGTATCACCGTCCTTTAGGGATCAGCAACTAACTCTCCCGAGAGATGTGGATTTCCGGACGGTCTACGTTCTTCTCAGCACTCATACTGGGCTATCGGTCGTCGTACGCTGAGCCACCTAGCTCTCGTATTCTCGAGACACTGACAAGTCTCTCACCGAGAGAGGGGCGCTGGCTTTATAGGTGCGATTTCGTGGCTCGGAGTCCTGATCCCACTTCCCTATTCTTTCTTTTTTTTAAAAAAAATAAAAAAAAAAAGAATTGAAAAAAATAAAAAAATAAAAAACCGTCCTTGCAGCTTGGCGTACACTGCGTACGGATACGTTCAGCGAACAGTCCCTGCAGCCGCAAGGGGGAGGGGGTTGGATGGCTACTGTGTGTGTAAGGTAAAATCTTGGCAGACTTCCATCGGTGCCGGGTAATCTCGCTAGGTAGCTAGAGTAGAGACGTCCAGTGGCTCCCGCTGGACGTCGGCCCACCGGAAAGTGGGGCATGTCAGTTGATTGGCTACCTTGTACTACCTGTACCTACAAACCTTACCTACTGGACCTGTCCGCAGAATCCTGAGCCATTTTTAGCATGTAATTAGGGGAATAGTGGTCTGGAGTACTCCGTACGGAGTATATAGTATTGTCCGTGCTGCGCGGAATGGGGCTTGCAGGATGAGGTGGCCAGATGAAACTGTCTTCCCTCAAAGCTGGTGCTGACCCAATTAGGTTGATGCCACGCCCCGATCAGCAAAGCAACGCAGCAGAAGACAGACGAACGGTATAAAATTAGGCTTTGGCATTTTCGTTTACATCTACATTCACATTTACATTCATATCCAGGAGGTAACCGCACGCCTACATCCTTTCCAGATTATCCTGCAGGATGGAGCTGGCAGGGGCAGTAAAACATATAGACCCCGTCGGGAAAACGCATCGGCGATCTAACAGTAATCAAGAGCGCGCACGAGCCAATCGTACCGAGGTCCCGAGACCTTTTCGCGGGTCTTCCAATCCGTTCGCGTATCCATGCCTGTTCGTCCAGGGATGCTTGTCGTGCTTCATCAGACCTGTGGGCGCCGCCCCAGTGGCACCCAGGGTGGGGCGTATGGAGCCGCTAAGCCGAAACTCTAAACCAACGACATGGGGGGCCGACTGCGCCCATCAATCGTCAAAGTATCGCCCTATATCAATTCTCGGCCGTTGAGGGAGACATTCTGCACGCAATTCGCGCCATTGCCCGAATCGGTCCGGCTCACGTCGTAACCCTGCTAGCGCGATTCCATTGTCCCGCCGGAGCGAAGCTTCAGGACAGCGCCGAGCCGTAGCACCGAGCAGTAAAATCCGGGGTGGGAGGAAGGGGTTGAAATGATGTGTGGGGATTGGCGCGCACAAGGTGTATGCTTTGCCCGGTCCGGCAGTTTCGGCAAGTTTCCACATTCGTGTTCGGAATTCTCGTCGTGTGAGTGAACGAAGAAAAGAAGTACGGGGGGGGGGGCGTCTCGAAGAACCCCTATAGAGCTAAGTTCCGACGGTCCGGTGTACCCCTTCTCGGAATTGGGACAAGCTGTTCGCCTATCCGTGTAGGCAGCGGCGTATAGCGCATAGATAACGTCCCGCGGCAGGCTGCTGCTACCGGCTCTTTGCTGGCGGGAAGTCAGGTTTGCGATTCCGAATCTACCTTGCGTAGGGGCCTTTTCATGGGCCTCGACGACTACCCGTTGCGTGCTGGATCGTCTCGACGGCGTTGTCCGCAGGCCAAGGCCAACGTCGGCTGTCGGCCGTGTTCGTACCGCCCAGGCTTGGTTGCTTGAATAGCTCGAATGGCTCAATTGGCCCGGGTGGCTCGAGTGGCGCGAATGGCTCGAACGGCTCGAATGGCCGGAGCTCACCACGTACAGCCCCAAGTTTGAGCCGGCGTAAAAATCCAACACAGGCTGACTTCCTGGCTCTGGTCCCGTCACAGAGCCCGTTTCCGGCTCATAGACGCCTCTTCCCGTGGTGGTGGAGATGGGGCTTGTGGTGGCAAACCACCTGTACGCGCTTATCTCGTGGATGACGTGCGCGGGATCCGGTACTAATCCCGCGCGCCATGTTGTTAACGTCGCTGGGCGCCCGTTCTCGGCCTCGGCGCGCTCTCGTAGAGTCTCCAGGCCACTTGCGGCCGTTGGCAGACACGCGGGCTGCTGCGGTGGGGCAAGCTCCTGATGCGCGGCGTAAGAGGAGTTGTTGTTGTGGGTACGGAGGGGCGAAGGTACCGTCGAACAGCCGATGGACGGTTTCGTCTCGCTGCCGCCGGCGTTAGCGATCTTCCCGGGGAGGGGCAGGTGCATGGCGGCTGTGGAAGAATGACGGCTCGAGGAGGGTTCACAATCGATGTTGCGGCTACAACAGCGGGTGCACGGTTTGACCTCGTCGCACTTGACACGGGCAGCAGCGCATTGCCGGCAAGCGTAAGACACACGACGAGGGCCGGGTGAAGGTCCCGCGTGGTGGTTTCGCTTGCTGCCGTGTTTTCGCTTGCTAGCGTGGTTTTGGCCGCCGCCTGCGTGCCTGGCAACGTGGCGCTTCAGCAGATCGGTTCTGGCAAACGCCTTGGAACATATAGGGCACTGCACAGCGCTTGCTGGAAGTGTAGGTCCGGATGTGTCGTGCGAGATACGCAGGGCGAGAGTACCGTCGCTGGCAGTGTGGGCACTGGTAGAGGGCCGGCTGCCGCGGCGTCGTTCCGGTCGGCCGGAGCTGAGGCCGGGACAAGGGGGGATGCCGGCTGATCCTGTTGCGTGATCGGGTCGGCGACCGACACATCAGACGGCGCTAGGACCGACTCGAACCCGGAGCGGGTGCTTGGGGTCTTGTGTTGACAGCCGCACCCGGCGGTGATGACGGACTGCGCGTCCGATGGGATGTCGTTGTTAGAGAAGTCCATGCAGGCGATCTGCGACCTAAAACGGCGGCCCGTCGTCGGTTCCAGCAGAGAGTCGGGCGTGCAGGGGGGGTGGGCGGCGCGCCAGCGCCGGAGGGATCTGACGGCGTGACATGCCGCAGATGGTGGCGTCGGGACACGTATGTACGGTGTATCCGTACCTTGCGGTCCGTTAGGCTGGATTGCCGAGTACGGCGCCGGCGGACGACCCTCAGGGGCGGAGGACTCGGCGGTAAGAGACAAATGCGGCATGAGGCGTCCGAAAATGGGAGAGGCGACGATGAGATGACGATGGAAAAAGTGGTCTCTACCCGCAGCGTGCTGTCTGTCTCCTTGTGAGCCTGGCCTGCTTGGGTAAGGTATAAGTGGGTAGGGATGGTTGCGCTGGACCTTGTTGGGTGGGCAGACGTTGCTCAGTCACACTGCGTTTGAGTGGCGGCTGTTGACAAGTTTACTGCCGGTAGAGAGATGGGAGCATGGTTAAGTAAAGAGAGGTTATGAGGGACAAAGCCTCGCATTGACTGACCCTAACAAGCCGTATGTGTTCGCGGCGACAGCAGCAATCGAACCAGTACCAACTCAACTAAACGACGTGATGCTAAAACCATCCCTACGGTCACGGCGCGATGGGCAGCGAAACACATGGCTGGTATACTGAACGACAGGGGGGGGTGTCTCTCCACCAAGTCCGTCCAGGTGCCCAGGTGCCAGTCGCGCAGGCGCCCGGTATCGGAGCGACCTGATTGTGCGGATGACGCAGCAGTTGTCCGCCCACAAAATGGCAGGCCCGTGGGGCTGGGGTTTGGCTTGTCACGATTTGGAACCCGACCTCCGCCCACGTACCGCGCAGGGATGAAGAATCGCAGAGATCAGAGTAGGTATGTACCGCTCTGTCGTGGTCGCGACGCAAACAACGTCGCAGGACGACTATCTGCGGCTGCGTCTTTAGGTCCAGCAACAAGTTTTTTATTTCTGTCCCCCCCTCCCCCCCCCCCCACCCCCCCCCCCTCCCCCCCCCCCCCCCCCCCCCCCCCCCCCCCCCCCCCCCCCAAAATAAAACAAAGCAGGTAGTAAGGGAGCTGGTGGAGTCCTTGAAACACGGCCATCTCCGAACGGATCAGGGTCCGCTGTGCTTCGCCGGGTCAGGCCCGGCGAATCCGGTCGGGCCTGTGACGCCGGCGGGCAGACGGGGCAGCTAGTGGGGTTAAGCACAACCCAAGACCACCTAACTCCAACTGACTGGTGAGAGCCGAAGGGTCTTGCAGGGTTTGCGTTGAGCCTGCCTGTCCACAACGTACCCGCGTCGGGGGGATCATCCATTCTTCCCCTCGTGTGAGCAGAATCTTGAGCCAGAGCCTCTCGACTTTGCGCACGTGAACACTACTCGCGTGGTCAACTGTCGACCGTCTCATCCGCCCGCGGGGCCCTAGATAGCGATATGGAGGTGGAAGACGTCCATCCACAGTTCCCCACAGAACCCCTATCGATAGGGCGAGACGAACCAGCCGGGGACATTCACACGTCCTTTAACGCTTGGTCCGCAAGGGTACTAGATGGCGGGATCAGGACTCGTCTGTTGTGGTCTGTAAACCAGGCTAGTAATCATCATGAAAACCGCCCAAGCAAAGTCGTTAGGCGATGGCAGGCTTGGGCCTATATAAATAAGACTACCTAGCTATCTACTATAGGGCTAACCTTGGTTATAAGTGGTGTAGAATCTCCTTGAAAACAGCACGTATACGAGCGACTTCGCATCAATGACCCCGTCGTGACACACTCAACAGGTTCTCACCCCTCGCTTACCGGTCCCCGGACGAAGCATACAGTGTCGACGGCTGATCCTGATGACGAGGAAGCCCAAGTCTTCTGCCTGTCTAATGATTGCCTGCTCTGCGGGTCATGGGGCACGCGTGGCCGGTGCTCGCTGTCGAGCGGACCGTAATGACTTGTCGCAGGAGGGGGTCGGGCGGGGAGCAAACACGGCTGCTGCGATTAGCCATGGTAACCGGATTCCGGGAGGGCATTGCCTTGCTCGGAAACTACCTATCCAGTCGTATTGCGGGGGGATTTGCGAGAGCAGAAGCTTATGTGGGCAGGGCGACTGCATGTCATGTATCAACAGTGGTTTATTCTTCGAGTAAGATTTATGACTTAATCTTTAAACAAAATATAAAGCGTAAATATGAGAAGCCGCACGTTCCACGGCGTTGCGTTTCGTGAGCGCGTCTAAAAGTGCCCCCACGCGGACGCTACTAAAGAACAGGTATCTATCTACAAGCCGATCGCAATGAGCCGATGTGTGGGAGCCAAGCTGCTCAAGTGCCGAGAGCTGCGCTCCCGTCCGGTGCCTTGTTAAGTTGGCCCTATACGGACTCCCGCGGCAGTATCATCAGCAGCGGCCTTCTTGGCAGCAGTCTTCTTTAAGGTGGTCTTAGAACCGGTTTTGCTCGCGGAGGTCTTTCTGGAAGATGCCCCCGCCGGTAGAAAGTCTCGTTAGCTGAAGTCTCATCAGCGGTGGTCGCGCCGGTGGAGGTCTCGTCGGTGGTGGTCGCGCCAGTAGAGGTCTCATCAGCGGCGTTAGCGCCGGTGGAGGTCTCTCAGCGGTGGTCTCATCAGCAGCAGTCGCTCCCGTGGAGGTCTCATCAGCGTTGTGGTCTATTCAGCGGTGGTCGCGCGGTGGGGGTCGTAGGTGGGTGGTGGGTCGCGCAAGCAGTAGAGGTTACATCAGGCGGACAGGTCGCGCCGGGTGAGGTCTCGTCAGCTGGTGGTACGCATTCAGCAGTAGTAGTAGTCGCGCCGGTGGAGGTCTCGTCGGTGGTGTATAGGCGCCCCGGTTTAGAGGTCTACTTCAGCGGTGGGTTCATCAGCAGCAGTAGCCGCTTCCAGTTGAGGTACTTCAGCAGCGGTGGTAGCGCAGGTGGAGGTTCTCGTCGGGTTGGTGTCGCGCCAGTAGAGGTCTACATACGCGGCGGTTAGAGCCGGTGGAGGTCTCTAGCGGTGGTCTCATCAGACACGTAGTCGCTCCGTGTGGAGGTTCATCAGCGGTGGTCGGCAAAGGTGGAGGATCTCGTCAGCGGTGTGGGTCGCGCTGGTTGACACCTTCTGTGGACATTTGGTGGTGGATACGCTTCTGACTTGAGCCTCGTCTACGGAAGAACCCGTCGGCGGTCGTCTCGCCGGTAGATCCCTCGGCGCCTGAACCCTCTTCGCCCGTGAAGCCGTCGGCGGCCAGTCCATCGGCAGCAGTCCCATCGGCGGCGGTCCCATCGGCGGCCGGTCCCCGTCAACGGCATTCCCGTCGGCGGCAGCCCCGTCGACGGCGGTGTCGTCGGCCCGCGGTCTCATCAAGGGCGGTCTCGTCAGCCATCGGCTGCTTCGCAGGAAAGACCCCCGGAACGAGAGTCCCCGGCGGCCGTTTGGGATGACGCGGGGGCGTCTTGTAAAAGGCCGTCCGGAAAAGGGCCGTCCGCTAGAGGGCCGCCTGGTGGAGGGCCCGCCTACCAAAGGGGCGCTTGGCGGCGGGTCAGCTGGAGTCGGTTGATAGGTTAGGGCTTAACTCATACCTTGAAACGGCTGAAGAAGGATCCGGACTTCCTGCCCGTGGCTCTCCTCGAGAGTGCGTCGCCTTCCCAAAGTCCGTCTTCGGCTGCGGCTTCAGAGCTCGGGGAGACACTGTCTGACTGATATCGGACACTGGCGTCTTGAACCCTCAGGCCCTAGTGCAGCGAGATGCCCGGAAAGAGGTCCGCCAGCAGCTTGGACCTCCGCTGGTGGCATTCCCATCCCCCCCGCCTCGGGTGACGTGCATCCCGTTCGCGGGGGCCCCGTGGCTAGACAACACCCATAGAGAGGGCGCCAGATAGAAGCACGAGGAGTGGACGCGGTCCGACCATGTTGGCAAAGAAAACTAGAACGAACGTGGGTGAGTGTGGGTAGCGAGTGGCAGGCGTTGAAGGTCAGTTTAAAGGAAGGACAAGAGAGAAATATGGCTGTTTGTGGTGGCTGGTTGCTGTTTGGGCAGGAGAAAGATCTGGCTTTTGATAGTAGATATATACTGCTTCCCGTCAGCTCTAGAACATGGAACATGCCACAGTGACCCAGACTACCTCCGCCTCCTCTCCCTTTGATGAGGCCTGCTTCGTGGATATCCGCGGCGGGGGGCAGGGCACACTGGCCAGTCCGATCAAGGGCGCCCCGGTGACATCGGAATTGACGAAGAACTGGCATCAGCGGACGCATGGGTCACGACGACTGGGCTTCCCTTCTCGCGTGATGCCGTCGCCCGACAAGGCTGCCTCGTAGCAAGCAACCGACTGACGGCCTCACCGGACGTTTGGTCAGGCCAATCTGACGAGCCGGAAGTCACTCGACGGGACGACCGGAAGAACCCCCAATGCCAGGCGGTAATATGTTTAGAGAGCCTTTCTTTCGTGTGCGGGATGCGGTTGACTGTCTTCTAGCTGGTCTCGCAGGTTCTCGAAATAGTAGTCCTTGCTGCCGACAACGTATATTATCCCCACCGCCCTCCACCGGGAGCGTAATTAGTCTATCCGGGTCTGCGAGAGGCTGGGCAGGGCGTGCCTGGCCGTGACTCGTCCAACGAAGACCGGGTATAGCATCAATCTGCACTCGGCCGGGAGGCCCAGTGTCGGCAGATTCAACGACCATCCCGTCCAGTGGGGCCGTAAGTGGGGCCCTCTGGCCGCTAGGAACTATGTTGGTCTCGCCGTCGGACAACCCGAGGGCTGCAAGAGAAGTGATAGAGAGTGCGGGCGTGTATGTCGTCCATCCCATCACAGGGCCTCCTCTTCACTCAAACAGCATTATGGCCTTTGTCCAAGAGCACTGTAGAGGCGCGTATAGTCCACGTAGGCCTAGCTGTGGTATACGCGGAAAAAGTCGCCAGTTTATGGCTAGGCAAGGTAGTGAGGGTCGTACATCTAAAAGTAGAAGCGGTAGGAGCCATGTTTTGATGAAGCATCGGACCTCCCGACGACGGCTTTGTCCGTCTCTTGGCCGCTGGGTGCGGGTGTGATTACTGAACCCGCGTTGTCCCGGCCTCCTCCACGACGCCGTCCGATGGGGGCCGGCGGCTGCAAATAACAGAGGTCGTCACGACCACCAGGCCTCCCGCCTTGGGATGACTTGCGCAGGCCCCTTTGTGTGATAAGTCTGTCTGTTAGTAGACTGTAAACATACTGCTGGGCGATATACGCATCTAGGTACTACAAAGCCTCAAGATCAGTGAGGAGGACCAACAAGTGCAATGCAGCCGCTGCCTGTGTTAGTTGGACGAGAATCCATGGGGCAGATAACATGAAAACACAACAAAGGAAGGTGGGTCGTATATTCTCACGGTCGTGGCCCTTCGGAAGTCCAGAAGTAATAGGACCCTTTGAATATATGTGTATTATAAAAAAAAGAAAAGGAAATTAAAAAAGAATTAAACTAATTCATTGACGCCTTGTCGGCGCAGGGCAAGCTGTGTACTAGTATACTGCAAAAGGTGCGTTACATTGAGGCCCCACCGAGACCGCTCAGGCCGTCCCGCGCACATTCAAACCGTGGACTGCGACCTCGTCCATACTTGTACGCCAGCTCCAGCTAAAACAACAGGAAACCAGATACAAGCCATCCGCGGTACACTCCCCGATTGGCTCACTTTCGCTCGCCATCCGAACCGCCCGCCATCCGTCCGATGACCGTCAGCCCTACCTTACCACATCTAGCCCCACACGGTGTGGCCAGGGGTGCCGTCTCAAACAGCCAGCTAACGAAGCCCGGCTCCTGGTTCGGCGGAACACCGACGATCTGCGGGGCTGGCACCGCGTGGAGACGCGCGTCGTTATCGACTCCGAGGAGCTCTCTGGCCTTAGCGACCAGGGGCGACCTCAGGCGGACGAGATGCATAATCACCAGCTGCCGCAGATCGTATGTCAGGTCCTGCTGGACGTTAACGAGGGCCCCAGGGGTCTTCTCAATGATCCAGCTGATATCCTTCATGTCCTTGTCGTTCTTGTTGCGATGGTCTGCGGCCAAAGCGTAGACCATTGGACTTGAAGATCTTTCCAAGTCTCATCACGTGGATGGTGAGCCTTCTTGGCCTCGTTCCTTTTGGATATCCTTTGAGTTGGCTCTGAGATTTTCGGGGTGTGGTGAGCGTGCCTATGATGTACGTCAATATCGCTCCACGAACGAACGAGCCCCACCCCCCCGGGTGGGGGTAAGGCAAGGCAAGGCAAGGAGTAAGGTAAAGCTAACTGCAATGATCAGATCAACCTCGATATACTTCGGCTTCGACGAGCTCCCTTGGTTGTGGTAGACCCGCAGGTGGGAATCGCTTGGCATCCGGGGCCGGGAGAATAAACTTCTTGTCCTTGCTCAGCGCTGTCTTGAGCTTGGACTCGTCGTCTGG